AAAAATAGGCAAGTCGGAGCATTCTTTTCAATTTTAGAACATACGCCTAAACACTCTCCCACTTATTACGCGCTTACTTGGTAATTCCCAGATAACACGTCTATATTTAAACACATCTCTGGACCCACTGCCAGACTGCCTTACTAATATTCAGCTCACGTACTTTACTTTTACTCTTACGGAGTATTAAAAAACTACTAAGAATTAAAAGCAATAATAATAATAATTGTTATAACCGAAAAGATGTTATAAATTTTTACAAAAATGTAATATTATACAGAATTGAAAAATTATAAAGTCTGGAAATTAGGAAGACAATGAAAATGATAAAAAAGAATATAAAATAAAAATAAATGTAAAAAGAACACGTAGTATACTTTTTTGAAATTTTGGAAATGAAGAATGTACGGGAAAAATATAAAAATCAAAATAATCTAAAATATTAAGTATTATCGAAAAATAATAAAAATATTAAATTATGTAAAAATAATCGGAGTAACAAAAAGTTCAAAAAAGGATCAAAACTTGAAGAAAAAAGACACAGAGGGAAAAAAATAAATAGTGGATAAATATAGCAAATGTTAAATAAACTTAAAAAAATCTAACCAAAGAACAGACTATATTAAACTTTTAAAAGTCCAAGAATATAAGAAAAATACTAAAATGAGTATAAAAAGTTAAAATCTATATAAAATAAATATCGAAAATCAAAATGTGAAAAAAATAACATGTTTGAAATGTAGAAAATTTGTATGAAATGGATAACATTTTAAAAGAATAAAAAATAGGAATATTGTATTTTTTGAATCTTAAAATATAACAAAAAGTAATTATTGTCACCACGCAACTTTATTCTTGTTTCTTGTAGCATGGGATAGTTTTGTATTTTTTGTCTATTAATTTGTTGTTTTTTACTCCTAAATAGAAAAAATAAATAGAAAGTCAAAGTAACAAACATATCATCAACAAAAGAACATAATTCAACAAAAAAACAACATGATACAACAAAAACAAAAAGAAACAAAAAAAACCACAATGCAACATGATAGCAACATGATGCAACAAAATGTAACACAATGAAACAAGATAAAACAAAAAGACACAATGTAAAACATTTACACGATGCAACAACATGAAACAAGATAAAACAAAACGAAACAATGTAAAACAGTTACACGATGCAACAAAATGAAACATTGTGTAACAAAATGAACACATGATGCAACAAAATGAAACATGATGCAACAAAATGAAACATGATGCAACAAAATGAAACATGATGCAACAAAATGTAACACGATACACAATAGAGTAACCCAATACAACAAAATAATAAGATATAAGTACACCATATACAAGTGTTCAATAAAAGCATACTTCAATTTAGTTTTCTACATTTATGATCAGAATTATGATTACAATGTATACTGAAATACTAGATTTATAATTACAGCCTCTACTAAAGTTCAAGAAAGTCAAGAGTTCTTCACATGGAGAGGGGCCAAGTAGTTGAGTGGTTCTATGTAATAGCAACAATGAAGATTCTCTTAATTCACTTCCTTAGCTGGATCCAGGTTATACCATGCCTGAAGATGAGATAAATATTAGAACTAAAAGCATTTTAGATGCTCCAGATTAGTCACTACTCACTAGTTAAAATCTGGGTTTTATGCTCCGTAATAGTGCAAATGCAAAAACTATGAGCCACTCAAGCATCAAGTGTAAAACTGTTGTGACCTCTACTGGTATTGATTTTACTACTTATTCGTCTGAACATATTACCGAGCCCCACAAAATTCAAGAGCAGTATATGGCTATATGCATGTTACTAGACACTATGCCTCATGGCAAAATGGAGTAGTCCATAGTGTGAATTTTTTGATTGATAACTATATTCAAAGTTACAAGGTCCAAACAACTTACCAGAGCCTTCAATGTTTGAGAAGAGGATTAATGTAAAGACGGGTGAAGTTACAAGGTCCAGCAGCTCCGTAGTACAACACAAATGTGAAGGTCATGGATTACACCAAACAGTATTCGGTCCTTCCCCACATTTGTTGGCATCTCCGTGGTAGCCAGTTTTGTGTTCCTGCATAAGAAGTACTAAACACTAAAAAGTTTCCTTGGACAGAAGTTATTGTGCTAATAGCTTGAGGGGTCATCATACTCGCAAAATATTGCAGTAATTCTTCAGGAGGATGCTGTTAATTGACATTTTGAATTTTAGAATTAAATGCCCTACATATAGTTTGATATTGTTTTAAAAAAAAATGCATATATAGTGCCCACCTCTCTGTTATACGGAGTATTATTCTTTGAGTTTTAACTGCAATAGCAGGTGTTTTTTCCACCAGTTGACAACAATAGCAATTTTTATTCTCAAGAGTTAACCCCGCACTAGTTCCTGTTATTTCCCCAACTGTAGCTAGTAAATTTGACATTGTTCTAACCATAGCAGCAAGCTAAGTGTTTTTTCCAGCACCTTTCCAAGTTTCAAATCCTTCTTCCAGCAGAAGCATGGACTGTCTGGCTTGGCAAATTTTCTAGCACTGTGATAGTAGCAGGTATCGCAGCAGCAACCTTACTCCGTGGCGGCCTGGCAGCTTTAGGCAGTTCCTAGAGTTCAACATAGGGAAATCGTCACCACTAATATCCAAAACAGCAAACCTGGAAGACAATTGAGTAGCTCTTACCGTAGAAGCCTCCCCTGACCCCTCTTTATTCATCTCCATAGCAGGTGTTTTCAGCAGCGAACTGGCGTACGCCTGAATCATTGGATTTCAATCCCACTCAGGAATCGTTTAAAAACTATATCCTTGAGCTCGTCTAAGTCAGGTGAGTTTCAAACCATCAATTAAATTTGATTTCGAGCATTTAAAACTGAAGAACAGTCTGAAACTTAAATCAATGGTGAACAATATCCGCGAAATCGGAGAATAAGGTTTCAGGCCTGCCAACGCCGCCACCCACCGGTACAGGTGTGGGAGGTGCGTCCAGCAGTGCAGAACCCCAAATCTCCCTCAGATTACAGATTTAAACGTCAGAATTAAATAATCAAGCCCTAAGCAACTGTGAATGAACAGTAAATTTGCGTACCTTTTTTCGATTTCTTAATTTCGCTTATGTGCAAAAATGGCCGCCACGCCTGCTTTCAGGGGAAAAGGTATGCACCGCTCTCTACTCTGCGGCCGCAATATATGGATGCTGGACGAATGATGACCAGACCCGAGAACTGAATTGGTTGATGAATCTGCGGAGTACCCTGGTCGCGGAGCAGAAAATCCTATGCTCCCCTTCGAGAGTTGGAAGCCTTCGGACGACAGGTTGGAATAATAGTCTAAAATTGAAATAAGAAAACATAACTGAAAATCAAAAAGTTAAAAATGAAAAGAACAAATAAGTGGGACATAAATGATATGTGGGGCATAAAATTAGACCATGCGGGTAATTTCCACCAATAAAATCCTTCACAAACATAGATGAGTACAAAAGTGGGTATAAGAGTGGGTACAAAAATGATTTTTGTACCAAATGAGCTTAAAGATAGATAAGGATAATGATCAATGAATATATGCATATAATTACCGTCATGGTTACCTGACTTACCTGGACTGTGTGTGTTTACGATCCTACATTCCTACGTAGTAAAAAATTACCTTCGACCAGAAGTCTCCTCTCATCCCTCGCCGTGAACATCTCAAGCATGGCAAACTCAGATGTGGCCGATCCATTGGCGCCGCCGTTGAACGCCACTCTTACCAGCACTCTCTCCACGGGTTTTTGGGAGGACCCCCTCCCGATTCCACCTATGGATCCCGTTTACCTCTCCCAAAGCAACGATATCTCGATGGACGATCTCGATCTCGACTTTTCCTTCGACGATCTCGACCTCGATCTCGATACCGATCTCCCCTTCGACATCGATAGTTTCCTCAATCATGATTTCCAACACGGTCTCGTTGACCACTGTGACCCGACACAGGTGCATCAAGCCGACCTTGCTTGCTACGTGCAACCTGATCTTGGTTCTGACCTGGTCGGAAATAATAAGAACTCTTCATCCGGAACGTGTCAATTTCCGGGCGATCAGATCGATGGAGATGCCATTCTCTTGAATTCTTCGCCTCAGGGGCTTTGCTCGAGCGGCTCTAGGGTTCTGGATTTCGATTTATCTGAATTGCACCCAAATAGTTGCGATCTTTCCGGCATTTTGAACGCATCGTCAGAATCCAATGGTTCTAATAAGGACACTCAGGAGTCTGTGAATGGAAATCAAGGCCATATGGATCCTAGGGTTCCTGATTCCCATTCTCCAGAGTCTCAGGGTTTGGGTGAATGCAGCTCCAATGTATCTTCTGCTCTGAATTCTCTGTCCAATGGTTTGAACCAGTCTTTAAATTCTTCTCCGGGCTCAGGAGTTGATTCAAATAAACCAGGGCAAACGAATAACATTCACAGTTATTCTAACTCTGTATTGAAGAGGAAAAAGGAAGACGGAGAATCTAATAGTGTAAAGTTGAGAATGGGCAAATGTAGAAAACCCATTGACATTAGGAACACAGAGACCAACACTACTAATACCACGAATCTCATCAGTGAAGAGGAAGAGAAGAAGAAAACAAGATTACTTAGAAACAGGGAAAGTGCTCAGCTTTCCAGGCAAAGGAAGAAAAACTATGTTGAGGAGTTAGAGGGTAAGGTTAGGACAATGCATTCAACAATTAAAGAGTTGAATGTCAAGATATCATGTGTAATGGCTGAAAATGCCAGTTTGAGGAAGCAGATAGGCGGGTCTGGTGTTGGTCCCACGAACCCACCACCACCCCCAGGAATGTATTCTGTCCCACCTATGTATCCATGGATGCCATGCACCCCACCTTACTTTGTAAAACCACATGGCTCCAACGTTCCCTTAGTTCCAATTCCAAAGTTGAAACCTCAGCAACCAATTTCTTCAACTAAGAAGAAAGAGAGAAAGATTAAGACGGCTGCAAGTGTCAGTTTTATTGGTTTGCTCTTCTTTATGCTTATGTTTGGTGGATTAGTTCCCATGATAACGGTTAGGCATGGAGGGATGAGAGAGGCATTTATGGGTGGAAATTATGCGGGGAATGGACTCTATGATAACCACCATGTCAGGGTGTTAGCTGCAAATGGAACTAGAAACCATTTGGATTTTGCTAATGCAAAACATTTTGGTGATGGCTTTAATAATGTAGGAGAGACACATGTTGACCTTAGTAAGATTGTTTATTCGGCCAATAGTAGTGAATCCCTTGAAGCCTCTCTTTATGTCCCGAGGAATGATAAGCTGGTGAAAATTGATGGTAGTTTGATCATTCATTCCATTCTGGCAAGTGAAAAGGCCCTAAAGAGCAGCCAAGAGACTGGTTTGGCAATTCCTGGTGATTTTGCCCCTGCAAGGAGGAATCCTTACACGTATAAAGGTCCTGTTGAAGGTGAGGGGGCCCTGGTTCCAGGTGTTGTTGATAGGGACTACAAGTGGTTTACATCAGCAGATGGTAGGCTTCAGCAATGGTTCCAAGAAGGCCTTTCTGGTAAGCATTATGTACATGGTTAAATCTTCTCTTATATTCATTTAGCTGATTGGTTCATGCTCCATTCTTTGCATTTTGATTTTGCAATATCAATCTTTTTTTTTTGCAAAAGCAATATCAAACTTTTAAAAACCTACATTTACATTGTTTATTCAGAAGAAGGTTGAGACTATATGGACCTCTAGCATAAAACTCTGAATTTCATGCCATTGGAAAATTAGGCAACTGATTGACAAAATGAATTTCATGCCACGTTCATTATTACTGGCTTCTTATAGGTCTGCATGAAAGTTAAGAGTATAGTTGTAAGGGTGGTAGTATAGAAACGTTTGAAGAGATAGGATGAGAAATTATGAAATATTAGAAAAAGGATGATGAAAATGTGAATTTTTTTGTCTTTTAGAAACTATAAAGTATCAAGTCAGCAAAATAGGAAAGGGAGCTAGTAATAATAAACTTCTACAAAAGAAAAGTAGAGGAAGTAAAAGTGAACAAAGGGAGAATATCTTTGTGAAGTTAAATATGTAGTAGTTTAAAGGAACGTTGACCATTATTCATCTTTTATGTGAAGGATCAACCTTCAGCTCCGGCATGTGCACTGAGGTATTTCAGTTTCATGCCTCATCAGCCATAGTTCCAGTGACATCCTCTACAAGGAATGTATCTATTGAACCGGCTCAAAGCACCTCATACAAAGGCCAACAAAATAGAAGGGTCCTTCGTAGCCCCCTACCCATTTCTGCTTCTTCCCAAAACATGACTGAAGAAAATGCAGGAATAAGTGGACCTAAAGAAAACATAAGCTCAAACAGGACAGTTCCTCCTATGGTTGTTTCGGTGCTTGTTGATCCAAGAGATGCCGCTGATGGCGGTGAAAACATGATGGGTAAAAAGACTCTTTCACGGATTTTTGTTGTTGTGTTGATAGACAGTGTCAAGTATGTTACTTATTCATGCATTCTTCCAGTCAAGGGTTCTGTCCGCCTCTAGTTTCAACATAGAAACTAATCTCTAGAAACTGGGACAAACACATCTACTTGATTACTTATGTGTGGGATTGTGGGAATACCTGTTTTTTTGGAATTCAAAATATGTACAAGTTGTAGTTGTCTTTGTTTACGTGTAACTTAATACTTACTGTAGTGGCTCCAAATTGTTTATTCTTTAAAAGTTTTGAGTTGTATTGCATGTATTACTGATCTCATTCTCATTACTCAATGGTCCATTTTGGTGAAAATCAGTCTAGACTCTAGAGGTCGGTCTCCTAGAATGATGAGCTTGTACCCAGGCCAGGCACCAAATGGCGCCTGTTGTTCACTTGATGACCTGACACCTTTAGAACCTAGCATTGATAATAAGAACTCCTACTCAAGAGACATGCAATAAGACTTCATGGTGTTGAGACCTATGTATTCAAAACCAGGCTGGGCTGGGCGGACACGCAGCAGCAATACCGGTCCGGTACATGTCCAAACCCGAAAATCACCAAAACTGGGAGAACCGGTCAAATACGGGTAAAACCGGTGGAATGTGTTCAATCAGACCTGATCGTGCTAGGTTCTTCTCAGCTACCGTGTCCATCTAACTTTTTCTTCCTGAAGGATAACTCTGAACGAATGAGAATTAGAAGCATATACAAACAACTGGTAGATCAATATGATTTAGACAAAATGGTTGGGGCTATGTTTTGATTTCTCCGACTATTGCTATCATTCTTAAACTAACAGAGCAAGAAAATATAGATCTAAGAGGATGGAATGGGATATGCCTTATGAATTTAGATCGGTGCTGCAGTTTTGGTTTTTGGATGGTGTTGAGTGTTGATTTCCGAATTTTAGATATTTGAATTGTAATATGTAATGAGGGAGAAGTAGATGAAGAAAGAGGTGGAGCGGGTTGGGAGTTGGGAGTTGGTTGGTGAAGAAGATGAAGGGCTTAAAGTGGAGAAGCTAGAACTGACTAATTGGGCATTTGGGTGTGGGGCAAGAGCTGGGATTTGGAGAATGTTTAAACATGAAGGGAATTATTGTGGAAGTGGAAGTGGAACTGGTGTCACTCCCGGGTTGATCCGGGTACCGGATGACCCGTGACCCAGTTTGCATAACGGGTCATTTACGTGCTAGATTTTACAACATAGACACAAAATCATTTTTATGGTTCATTACTTTTACGTTTACATTTATCCATGATCGCTCAGCAGGGGCGGATCTATTGCTTAGACAATGGGGGCATGTGCCCCCAATAAAGTTTCTAATTTCTTATATAAGATAAAGCAAATAATTGTTAGAAAATAGCTTGCCCCCAATAAAAAGAATGAGTTGCCCCCAATAATTTTCACATCCTAAAAGAGAAACTAATGCGGCTCTAAATGTATGCGTTCGTTTACGATTCAACTGGTCAAAATAATGTACAATTATGAGTAAGTTAGATGCAATAAAACTAATTCAAACATCGTTAGTATCATTTTAATACACAAACTATATTCACGGTTACATGTAATTTTTTATTTTTGGTTGGATAATTAATAAAGTAAAAAAGTTAATACATATAAATAATGGTAAAAAGTAAATTAGATACCGTAACTATAGAGGTCACCAAATTGATCTAGTCATTTACGTAGAATATTACTAGTATTTCACAACTTAGAGATATTTATATACATATCGCCAATTATTCAATGTCATGTATGTAAAAACTAATATAATTGTATAAAATTGCTTTTCAAATCATAGGATATTTTTACTTGAAATGTAATTTGCTGGTCTGGTCTGATCTATTTAAGTCTGGTCTGGTCTGAGACTGAAAACAATCCAAGTAAAAACATCCATAGTTCTAGACTTCTAGTGAATTAATTTTCACGGGTCTATTTTATTAGAGTTTAGAATGTCAAATTCCATTAATTAAGTTCTAATTGCCTACTTAATTTATTCGATCATATTTACTATAAAAGATACCTTTAAATTTAATTATTAAATTTTCATGTCACAATTGGTATTTTAATTAGGTCTCTTATTTAAACACTGCTTTCTCATACAATCTTTGATGATTTCGGGACTACTTAACCGGTGTTTGGAACGAGAATATGCCTAAATTCCATAAAGAATTTCATGCGACTAATTATATCATTCATTTACAATTATGGAGGCATGAATGCGTCTCTCATCTGAATAATATAAAAAATACCACATACACAAAATATTTGTTAACAAATTGATGATTTGGAATAATGTCATGCTTGGAATTGATTATAAGTTTGAGTTCTATGAGATTACACGTCTCAAGCCATAGAGGGGTTAGAGGGGCTTCCTCCTCCTTACCCGTTCATTTTTTGGCTCAAGCCTAAATACACAAGTATGCACTTGCACAAATACTTGTGTATAATCATTAACCGTTGTGTTCTAATATAAACATTTGACTCTAGTGTATTCTAACATCTGGTCTCCTTAATAAAAATGTCTTCTCTATCACTCTACTTATGCCCCCAATAAGTAAAGTTTCTGGATCCGCCACTGTCGCTCGGTACTCAGCTATTCACTTGGGATTGATTCCAGGACGTATTCTCATATGAAAAGATTGATTTCCCAATTCAATTTTTGTATCAGATACCCCATTTGTCGTACTTAAGCTTAGTATTAAAAAAATTGTAATAAATTTGTTTTTAATACTATCCTATTATGGATGTTTTCTTTTGGACTGTTTTCAGTCCCAGACCAGACCAGACTTAAACAGACCATACCAGACCAGACCAGACTTAAACAGACCAGACCAGACCAGACTTCCGTAGTTATAAAATACACAGAGACCAGACGTTTACCAGACCAGACCAGTCCAGTTCAGACCAGACCAGACCAGACTAGACCAGACTTAAACAGACCATACCAGACCAGACCAGACTTAAACAGACCAGACCAGACCAGACCAGACCAGACCAGACCAGCAAATTTCAGTCCAAAAGAAAACATCCTATGTCTTCTCATCTTTACAATTCTAAACTATTTCTCGAGTTTACTGTTTTATATTCTATATGTTGTTTAAGTTTGGACAACTCAAGTGGGATTGATGGATCATATTTTAAATGAAATTGAATGACATTTTTGTGGTTGAAATTTATGCAAAAATGCCGTATGTGATTATGATTTATGAATCACAAGTTTTTATTTAGCCCTTAATTGGGGAATTTGGAGGGGAATAAGGGAGGGAGTGATTTTTATTGAGTTACTAGTATGTGTACCCGTGCAATGCACGGTAAAAGTTTTCATGGTTTAATTTATCTCATCAAGAAAATAGAAATGAAAAGCAAAAATTCAAAGAAAAAGACAGGAAAAAACACAAAATCAATAAACGGCAAATCGGTTTTACATAACAGTGCCCACCAATTAAAGGAGCCCCAAATTTTTAAAAATTTATTAGCACGAAGTATTATATAGTGGTATTGTTTAATAATAATAATGATGATGGTGATGGTGATGATGACGATGATGATGATGATGATGATGATGATGATGATAGAGATCAGTAAAATGCACTTCGTAAGGAAGAATAATGCAGATCCACCAGTATTTTTATTTATTTATCGGTCTTTTTAGTCATCTTATACTCAAATTTTTCATCTCTGACTCATTTCACTTTAAATTCTTATAGTCTTGTCCCGACTTAAATTTAAAAAATAAAAACAAACCAAAACAAACCAAAATTTAAATTCTTACATGAGAAGATCAAAATCAAATTGGCCGGCCAAACCCGACTTACAAAGATTGCCCAGTTCGGAAAATTTTTATCCAGATAAAACATTCTTAGCACGATTCTTAACATCTAGTACTAAAAGGATTAGTAATATATTTAATATTTTTAAATAATTATACATTTGTATTAATGAATCATAAACTAATTTATATGTTTTTAAAATATATACTACCCTACCCATGTCCCGACTTAAGGTTATCATTGCAAAGTGACGATGTTATTTAGACAATGATTAAATAAGATAATTCAAGTATATTTTGAAAAACAGTTTTGATGAGAGGATAATGTAATGAGTCATTGATGATAACTGTGAGGTTAAATTGTGATGAGAGTATAATGCAATGAGTCATTGATGATAACTGCGATGTTAAATGTATTACTTTTAATATTTAATGATTAAATTGTCACTTAAGAGTGTTACAGATATTTTTACTTGGACTGTTTTCAATCCCATACCATATCATATGTAAATAGACCAGATCATACCAGACCAGACTTAACAGACCAGACCAGAGTTTCATAGTTATAAAATAGACAAAGACCAGACATTTACCAGACAGACCAGACCAATCCAGACCAGTCCGGACCAACAAATTTAAGTCCAAGTAAAAACACCCTAATTATTTCCCAAAGTACGAATGTCAACCTTTGTTTGGGACGTCAAAAAAGGGAAATGAGAACCTTAAGTTGGGAGTTGAGACGGAGAGAGTATGATATTATTTTTCACCTAATAGTTGTAGTAATGTAAAGATAATGAATTAATTAGTAGCTATCTATTTATAAATGGTTAGAAGTTGATTAGGGTTTGTATATGTGAAGTTTGGGAAGTTGAATAGATTTCCTTCTACTCTTTCAAATGCTTAAAACGTTCTATATTTGATCAAAAACGCGATGACAATTTCGTAAGTAAACATGAAATAGTGCATCGCATTGAGCGAAAAGTAAAATCGTTCACACTTTGCACGGGAAAATGACTTTTTATTTGAACTCGTCTAATAAAACAACATATAAAAATAGACATATAAATAATTCCAAATATACAATTAAAATAAAAGTAGTGGACAAAATATGAATAAGTAACTTGTAATGACTATAATCGTATTTAAATCTTACATCATAGTCACTTTAAACTTATTCATAGTAACTTATAATCGTATTTTTGTCCATAGATTTTTTATTGGTAATATCTCAGGAAAACCTCTAAATTACACACACACATAAAAATATGTTGGAATACATAAGAGTGAAGTTTTAGAATTTGAATGATTTATCCTTTATTTCTCCTTTATGGTGTTGCCAAATGTCATTTTTCTTGCAAAGGATGTTGCCACATGTTAAGATTTCATTCAAAGAGTTCTTCAAGGTTTGCTTTATTATATTATATAGATATAGATATAGATTTGGAAGGTAAAAAGGAATAATTAGGAATACATTGTTTCACTAAATATATTCTCATTCTTTAGACCAAGATTTAAATGTATACTCGGTAGAAAAATGAAAATAACTAGTCCCCTCAATTCCCTTCAAAAATGCTCCAACCAACCACACCCTTCAAAAGAAGTAAGGTCATTTAGGAAGAATATAAAATAAAGTAGAGCGAATGACATAAAGGAAATCAAACTTATAGAGACTACAAGTGCTTCCAACACCATTATTTATATTTCCTACTTGTGGGTGTTATATTTATGTGGAGTATTTGTGTACTGATATATGAACCAAATTTGTTTAGATATGAAACAAACTGTTAGATATTTTATGCTGACCAATCATGTTGATTATAACTTTATTTGTATTGTATTTAGTTTAATTAATATATTTATTAAACTAGCTATAGCAGGAAAAGCCTTGTAATGTGTGCATGTGGGCCACCTCAATAAACGGGATCAATCACACTTAGTTCACATCAACTCATTCTCTATGCATATAAATATTGCCTTAAAGAGAATGAGGTCACTAGCCTCTCCATAAGTTTCCTGCATATAACATCATTCTGTGAGAGAGCCACAATTCATATCATGTACTCTATTGCAAAATCATTCTGGTATTGAATATTCTTCTCTATTCTATTGCAAAATCACATTAAATGGTCTAAAAAGGCTACGTTGTGGAGGAGACAGAGGTCGGGTAATCAAACACGAAGATGAATCCCTTGTGCGCCTGGAACACTTCAAGAACATTCATTCTAGAGGCGTCATTAGGCTTCATTCAAGTTGATCAAGAAAAACTTCTTAAAGGCAAGAACTACAAGCAAGTTTTTGAAGAATTCCTCAAAGGGGGGATTGTAAGGGTTACGTTCCTTCACTATGCCTCATGTAGAAGACAAGGGAAGCTGAACTGCACAGTTTATCAAGACCAAAAGAGGAGCCACTCAACCAATCTCATCAACCTCTCCTCTACACTACAAAAACAACACAAACACAAAGATATCTGCGCTCCAATGCTGAGTAAACATGACTGAACACAAAGGGGGAGATTGTTAGAGATATTTTATGGTGTCCAATCACGTATAATATAACTTTATTTGTGTTGTATTTAGTTTAATTAATATATTTATTTGACTATTATTAGACTAGCTATATTAGGAAAAGTCTTGTATTGTGTGCATTTGGACCACCTCAATAAAAGGGCCCAATCACACTTAGGTCACATCAATTCATTCCCTAGGCATATAATATTGTCTTAAAGAGAATGAGATCACAAACCTCTCCATATATTTCCTGCATATAACATCATTCTGTGAGAGAGAGCCACTATTCATACCCTGCATTCTATTGCAAAATCATTTTGGTATTGAATATACAACAAATATGTTCTTCACTATTCTATTGGTTTGATTGTTGAAACAGGGAAACACAAACATATAAAAGTTGATATTTTACTTCATAATTTATGGGAGATTTACTCAAATAGGACAAAACATAATATTTTTTTTTTAAAAAAATAGAACCAACTAGTTTAAAAATGCTATAAATATGATTTTTTTATTTGTGATCTGATAAAATGCACTTTTAAAGTTTTAGGGTTGGAGCCTTGGAGGATTGTTGCCCTCAGGTTTCCGGACCACCATCGGCAGCCGAATTTCTCCCTAGATCACTGCAAATTGACAAAATCTGGTTGCCTTCTCCAGAGCTTGTCGTCGTCACTCGTCACCAAGCTACCGCCACCATCGGATTGGGCCGCCACTAATAGACTGACCTTGGTTGACCTTAGACCCTTAGTTATGCAACACAACTAGGAGGCAATTAATGAGGTTAATTAATTAATTAAATTAAGAGTAAAAATGGAATAATTAATCTTATTTAAGAAAACCAAACATATAGTAAAGAATGTCATGTTTTAGTCTTAGTTTGAACAATTTTCTCACAATTTATTAGATCATCCATGATTCCAAACAAAATTTGATACATATAATAACTTGTATGTAAAAATGTGGGGGATGGGGGGGCTTGTTTTTGTTGAAATATAATTGAATTAGTCAATCCCCTAACTATTCATGATTAATAAGTCATTATTATCGTTATCAAGATTTTGAGTATAGATTTGCCAAAAAATTGAGTATATATTGAACGAAGCTTAAGTTAAACTTTACAACTTTAAAAGCATTAAGGGAAATGTTTTATATGCACTTGATACAAACATTGACTTGTTTGCTTCTTTTGCCATAAAAAAGAACAAAATCAAGAATGGGCTCTCTTCTATGATATCAAAATGGGATTAGAAGGGCTCTTCCATTAAAGAAAGAAACTACAGTTCAAAGGAATCAAGAATGGCTTCTAAAGTTTTCTGTGATGATTGCCACTGCTTCTCATTGGCACTGGCCACAAAGAGGACAACTGTGTCTCCCTTCGCTGTTGCTTTTGCAAGATTGTGGGACCCAGTAAGAGCGTAAGGAGTTTCCAGAACATACCTGTAGTACTGCAAACAGAAGCAGAAGTAGTATTCATGAAAACACTATGATCCATGCAAGAGATGATGCAGTTAACAGAACCATGTAACCCCCATAACATACACACAAGACCACAAGTGAATCACATCTTCCTAAATACTCCATCTCTCAGTCCCCTTTTAATCTTCTTAGGTTCTGTTTTGACTTTTGAGCTTTCTATATCTTCATAAATAGGATGTATTTCTTGCTGAAAATGAGTACCACAGGATTCAAATGTTATACACAATCACATATTATGTCAGCCTTTCAAATTTTGAGCTCAAGTATATCAAGATAAAGACTAAACCCACCCTTTCGAAACACCCTACATTCAAACAGATATTTATCTTTTTGGCATGTCCTAAAATAATCTTCTTGTATAATTTCTGTTACCTGATCTAAATTATCAATTGACACTATAATTGTTACGTTATCGATCCCAACTAGTTGGGACTAAGATGGCTATGATCATCATGAGATGATGGAGATGGCGAAGGCAATGGTGATGACTGTCTCTGTTTATGTTTTATTATCATTGAGTCAGTCCAACTAGAGGAGGCAGCAAGTACAGATGCTAATCCATGAAGAGTGCCTGATGAAACGGCTGAATCTGCAAAAATGTTTGAAAGGAATATTGTTTTGTAAAATCTATTTGAGCCAAATAAGAAACCCCACTCTACTTATTCCTATTACTCTGCAGAATAAAAGGAACGATACTACCAACAAATGACAGGAAGGAAAAAGAAGGGAGAGCCTACAAGTTTAGAAAATCTAGAATTAATTATGAAAAGTTATTATAAGCTGCAGCATACCGTTAGACCACCACGCTTCTCAATGGAAGTTCGAATGAGCTCATCAGGGTCATAAGTGTTCCCAGTGACAAAAGGGCCAAGAGAAGCAATGACCTTTTCTGGGGTCCCAATGTCCTCAATTTTGGCATTTGGTTTATTGGTAAGGCGTACCAAAGGAGACGCCACCACCTGAATTTTCCCCTGCTTTGCATCCTCAAACCTTACCTCAACCCACGGCTCTGCGCACTTGGGCTGGCAGTAGTTACCGGATAAGATGTTTGCTACACGAGTCTGTTTCCAAGTAGGAGGAAGCATAAATGTGTATGGCTCCACGTTTCCTGAAACCAACTAAAATTGAAGCTTCATAAGCCTATAGGATGTAGAAACAATAAGGCTATGTTAGGAACCCGTAAAATGCCAGGGAAATAAATAAAAAGCTAAGAATAATCAAATTCGATAGTATTTTAGTACTTAAGAAAATGCTTACATCTGTACTTATTACTTATTAGTCATCATATGACAAATATATATAGATGCAATCAGTTTGAGCAAATATCTATTTCCCCCATTCATTCCAAACTTATTCAGTTTGAAGTTATCTTAACTTGCCCCCATTCATTCCAAACTTCCCAGCTATTTTCATTTTCTCTCTAGCTTTTCCTGGTTCGAAGCAGACACTAAACATCTTGAGGTCAAGTCCCAGAAAAGTTAAGTAAATTTTCCGTGAAAAAGAATCTAAGTCAACCCTAAGTTGGAAATACTTTACTCCCTAAAAAAGGATTTGACCAAACTTTCTCAGGTAAGTGCATCAGGAAACATGGGAATCGCTTTCCCATCGTTTTGAACTCTCAGGAGAGTTTGAAATGAAAACTTCATCGCACGTGCTGGCTTAAACATTTCTCTTTCACCTCAACTTTTAAGGTTTGCTTGGAACTATGAAAAAACCTATGAAAGAACATGTAAAGGAAAGTTCATGTGGAATTTGGAAAGAAACAAAATGCAAGGAAAATAAAATAACTGTTCAATGCAATAATATTTTGTATGCACATGCTCATATTATACAATGTAAGTTTTAATTATTAATTACGGAGTATAATTTTAATATGATTAGGGGAATTTAACTTAAACTAATAAACTTCCATCAAATCTTGTAAACCATGACGGCAAAGGAAATAGGGAAGGAGTTTGTAATTCACCCCTTTCTCCAGCATTTCCTTGAATTCAAACAGACCCTTAGTTTAAAATGAAAATCCTACATGCAGATGTAGGTATTATAGAGGTCTTTGACCCACTACTTAACTATGAAGCAGATGTCGTTGATTACTAAATATTGGTAGCTTTCAGTCCGATATAGAGAAAAAATCATGACTTTCTGTTGAACACACGTTAGTTCGGTCCAAAATTACTAACAACCCTGATCTCGAGGATGTTATTTCAGCAAAAACTATCCCAAAATTACTCTAAGCCAAATCAAGAATTTACTAAGCAAAAGAACAAGAATTTATAAGCCAAAACTTCGGATTACTCTACAAGAAAGGTCATATCAAGACAAAACGGTAAAGCAGCTGAAAATGGGCAGTTAAGAACAGGTTTAATTGATACCAGCACGAAGAGCAGGAGTGTCAGTGGGTTTGGCTTTGTAGAGGACAAAAGAAGGGACGCTTGGCGATGGCGGAAGGTAAGAGCCGACCTCAACTTCCCTGGAACTCGAGGGAGGAGGACGGATGGTGACTAGAGGCATGAAACCCAGCCCTACATTCAACAAAGCTCTTTTTGAAATTTCTGTGCTCCGATGGGATTTGATGGAGACGATGGTAGATGATGGTGGTGGCTTCCGTATGATTCTTGAAGAGTCCATCATGGAGGAGAACGTAGTACCCGGTGGTCTGGCTAATGATGTCGCCATTGTCTTGCTCTGTTTCGTGGTCGTTGAAAGTCCTCTTATTTGGATGAGGTTTTTAGCTATTCTAGGATCACCTTACTTCAATAAATGTTTTAGGAGATGTCAGTTTAGTCCTCGAAGTTGCCAAAAAGGGGTCAAATAAGTCCTTATATAGAAGATTCTGTCTAGACGTGCCATTTGAGGTGGCTCCCGGTGGAATTTTTTGATGAATTTTTTTTAGCATCTTATTCATTAAATCTAGTTTGCTCCTACCAAATTTCAGATAAAAATTCAATCGAGAAGACATTCAAATGAATTCTTGAAGATAACTGTGCCGTTAAAAGCGCTATTATCTCCAAGAATTCATTTGAATGTCTTCCCGATTGAATTTTTAGCTGAAATTTGGTATGAGTAAACTAGACTTAATGAATAAGATGCTCAAAAAAAATTATCACAAAATTCCACCGGGAGCCACCTCAAATGGCACGTCCGAACAGAATCTTCTATATAAGGACTTATTTGACGCCCTTTTTGCAACTTCGAGGACCAAACTTACTCTTTACTCAATGATTTAGGATCAGATTACCAACATACCCTCAAGCCTCATTTTTGTTGAAAGGAAAATAGCATGTATTAAATCAAACCATCCACAACAACAACAAAATCCTAAAACCCATTGCCCCGTCATGATCATACATAGAATCCATTTTAAGAAGAGCGAAACTAATCGTTGAAACTTGAAACTGTGAGAGTATAGAGCTATTAATGACTGAATCGGTCATATTGCCTCTAATTAGTAATCTATCAACTAAAACAAACCAAAGCACCAATCTACCCCTCATCCTTTGTCATAGGGGCTCATAGGAAGAACAAAATTGAGATAGAAAATAGTCTAGTATAAAATAAAAAATAAAAAATAAAAAACTAGAAATAGTAAAACAATCTTCCAAACCCTAGTCGCACAGTTCCTCCATGTCGGCGGTTCAGGAAGGGGGCGGATTTTCATCCCTTCATCTTCTTCCTTCATCACTTTGATCTGCGCGTGAGTCGGTTCTTTCTCTTGGCCAAAGTACTGCACGGACACAACCAATCCGAAAGCGCGCAGTCTCCAAATCCCCACTGCCGATACGTGAAGTTAGTCGGAACTCTGCTATTCAGTCCCAATAGGAGGTAGATACGTTCCTTCCGTCTGGTTTGGTTCGTCACAGCTATTGAATCAAGAGAAATTCAACCCTCCTGGCTGAATTAGATCGCCAATGCAACTGACGCGTGATACTTCGTTTGTCCCCAATCGCAATTGAACTCCAAAGCAAAGGAGCGATTGGTCATCTATCAATATAGATCCATACCTGGAAGCTTAGAACCCACGCCGCCGGAAGTCCCAATGTTGCTGTTCTCCAACCTTACCATAGACGATTGCTCCGCCGTCCGCGTTTAACTATTAATCTGTCAAAAGAATACTTAATGAAACATCCTCAAGCCCGATTAATTGATTAGAACTATAACTACCTTTTAAATTAGAAACACACATCCTTGTCAATGTATGAGCAACATGATTCGTAAGAGCTTATAAAATGAGACAAAAAAAAAACTTGTCTCTCAAAGACATGTTTAATATTAATAAAAATAATGCATCTTTCTGAATTTCAACCACCAAAAAGGCATTAGTTTCAATTTATACATGTTGCCTTTCCTCTTGAATTGTTCCGTTTGTTGTCGCCTTACTCCCTTAGCCTCTGGCCACAAGCGTGATTTATACTCTAGCATCTCCAATGTTATTTGAGATTTGAAATACGTACTATAAAAACAATCAGAAATTTATTTATTTACAGGATTATAACCAATGGGTATGGCATTTCAGATTTAGAATACTCTAAGAGCATATATTGTGTTCAGTGCACTGGTATCATGAGAGATAAAAACATAAAATAATAAGTCCATGACGTTACTCTCACTTTAATTCTACGGTTTTATGTGTTTTTGATAAGTTTTTCTCAATAATGCCAATCACAATGTCTACAGCTAAACATTGTACTTGACATTTGAAGAAAGACTTATCAAAAACATATACTTGTAAGACATTTTAAACAAGGAGAGAGAGATTATACTTAATAACTTTATGTGTCTATCTCTCTCATTTCACTTATGCATCGTTCATGTTTTTGCATTGAAGATGCTACAAGGACCGGGTATTCCCAACATGGATTGTTATGTATTTTAGAATTACATCACAATTTAAGTCTCACCAAGTTCATTTTTTTATGGAATTCATCAAAATATGGGTGTCCTCCAAACATTCCATAGATCTATAATTGTTTATTTTAGTCATTTTGGGATGAGTTTAGATAAGTTGACCAAAAAAAGAAATTGTTCTATATTGGATTAAACCTAAACACAAACGTACAAATAGAAGTGAATGTTTTTTTATTCTCAAAATAGAAATGTACTTTCCTTTCATGATCAAAGTTAGTCTATTGGTGTAGACGATTTGGTATGTGATGAAAAGGTTCATATTGTAAAATTTTCTTAAATTTATCCTCAAGTGAACAAAAGAAGGTAAAGAGGTTGAAGGAAAATTTGAGAACTCAAAGTCATACTGTGGACATAATATTGAAGCTTTTTTACAATATGCCGATTAATTAATGTTTACAAATTTTAGAACTGCACAAAAAGTTATGTTGTAAAAACCGGACCGGAGAGTGACCCGGCCACATGACTGGGTCACGGGTCAACCCGGACCCGGTGGGTCAACCCGGTCAACGCCGGAAAAATTATATATAAAAATTATAATAAAAATTAGTTATTATTCATAACAATCAACTAACAATACTACTTATTAATCATTTAATACACTCTCATAATAATAAACATATAATTATATATAAAATGTTAGGACCCAACTATGATGATTTTGATGATGCCACTATACTTTGCACCAGTATTTTGTGTCTAAGTTAATTTGTGCATTAATGCTTAAAAGTGACAAGAATTCCAATATACAAACTATGTATCAGATTAAACATACTGGAACTATAAAATGCAATAAGGTAAAAATTATTTACCTTACATGGATATTTAGATCCGACCAGTATAGCTTTAATTTGGTACATAAGTTTAATCATGTCACTTAAAGAAAGTGATTAGTAAAATAAGTGACAAATTTTACTGTGAAATTTGTACCAAATAAATTGTACTGGAAAGAACAAAATGCAATAAGGTAATCTTATTACCTTAATAGGATATTTCAAAGATCCTACCAGTACAAAATTTATTTGATACAAAATATTCCGAGTCACACATTTTACTACCTCACTACTTGAGCAGGTTCACGCACTCAGCTTCACAAGTGTAGTTGCAAGACAAGGCCAATACACGCAGAATGCAAGAGCAGAGAAGACATCAGAATAGGTGAATAGTGAAGAGTTTCAGAATAGGCATGCAGCGATAAGAAGGCCTAAGGTATGGGTGTTATCTTCGTACAAAGCAAGTGGCCTTCCAAGACAAATCCTTATCCTGCTCCAACACAAGAAGACGCAAGTACAATACTTTGGACGTCTAGGATTAAATCCTCTTAACCAACGGAGGAGATTAATCTACTGGAGATGCCTATAAAAATAGGCAGAAGCATGAGATCAAAGGTAAGTCATTGAGTTCAAAGCAAGTGGTTCAGTCATTACACTACGAATATCCAGCAAAAGGAAAAAGTGCTAGAACACTCTGCTTTGACTCATGCTTCACTAAGCTCTTAGACTAGATCATTCATTGTAACATTTATAGAGCTTAGCTTTTAGTTGGCGGTTAGACACTTCGTGAATCAACTCATGTTGTTGTAAACACTTAGGAGAACAGTTGTTCGGATCCTATAGTGTGGTTAGATAGATAGAGTACCTTTTGATCCCCACTGGATCAATTGAGAAAAGTCTAAGGACTGAGTAACTTTGAGTGGTGTTATACTCATCGTGAAAAACCTTCAATCTAGGCCAGAGTTGTCAAGGCTAGATTGGCACTAATTGTATTGGGCTGAATACTTTAGTGGAAATCCATCTGAAATAGGGTGGGACTGGATGTAGGAGGATTACACCACCTCTGAACCAGGATATATCGTGTGTTGATTTCTCTACAATTATATAAGCATGAATAATGTTAAGGGTATAACGGTCATAGAAAAAGTGTTGGTGTCTCTGTTTGCATTGGAGAATTGTACCAAATGCATACTGATGTAGTACCGAGCTTACTTCACCATTTTTTCACCGCTAAGTCATAAGGCTAAAGGAGTGACGGAATCCTTCCGTTTACACACGGTATTCTCCAACGCTTCTGTTCAATTTGGAATAGTTGCATCTCCACCGTTTATGTTCAATAAATGCTCGATGAGATGGAAAATCGTAGATTTAGAGCATCTTCATGGCGACGTTTTGGCGTCGCTTGGGGGAAGGAAACACCCCCTAGAGTGGGAGGGAGATCATCGCAGCAGGGATGGAATTCGACATCGCTTCCCTAGGCAGACCGCCGCCGCCGGGAGACTAGAAGTTCTTTCAGAAGATGAAGGCAATCACATATGGAATCCAACGGAAGAAAGAGGTTGTTCACATGGATGGTTTGTGGTTTGCAGGAAGCCAAAGACAGACGCATGGAGTTTTTTCTAGAGAAGAATACTGGCGGTCAGGCAACTGAATGGGAGATTCAGGTAGATTTGCTTCTCACCAGTCACCATAGCCGGTTTGAGCGATGGAGAGGAAAAAATATCTAGGTTTCAGCATTGCTAATGATTCGAATTGCATCACAATTGAGAGCAAACTATTTTTCTTTTCCCCATCATTTTCTGATTTGCAAATCACTTAATTTAAGGATATTCTCATTTTTTGTCTCTTTTAATCATGGTGTGTTTGACTGCTTATGCGACAGTTTTCATCAACTTCAATTTGGTCTTTCTTAGAATTTCACTAAGTTTGAAATTCTAGAAAACTGCAGTTCTTCAAGGTGTAAAGAAGACTCATTCATTCATGTAAAAGTTTGATTTTGTCCATCTGTGTTGTCACCAATAATACCCTTGTACAACCATAGACGAATATAGTTGTGTAGTCCTGCCAAACACTAATGTATTACTGAGAAATATTAAGTGTAGAAGTATATCTTTTACCAAACAATGCTTCAGCAAATCATGTGAACTGTCTAAAGTCATAATATGTAAAGTTAAGGTAAAAGACTTTAAGGTTTAATAGAAGCATAGTGAGTAAAATTAGTAATGGTAGAATCCTCTGTTGCTCTGTGATTGTATGCAAACATATATTATACTCCCTCCGTCCCAATATAAAGAGCACATTTGCTTTTTCAAACACTTTAAGGAGGAACGCTGTTTGGCACTGTTTAGACATTGTTTGGCACTGTTTTGCACTGTTTTGTTTGCCAAAAAGGGAAGTGTTCCTTTTTATCTGAATGTCTAAGGGTATTATTGTTATTCTAACTTAATATCAAACATCAATAGTTCTTAAACAACAATTATGGTGCAATCTGCATTACTTACTATACTACTATGAATATTGTGAAATGAAAAGATGTTTTTCTTGATGTTTTCTGATACTTTTATGCTCCAAACTGTTGACTAAACTGATAAAATACACGTAGGTGATGTAAGACGGTATTTTGATTCTTTTTAATACTTCTTTTTAGGGTAATGGACTAATGGATTCTTGGCACTTCACAGAAGAGTGTTCATTGTGAAAGGTACGCAGTTTTAGTGAGTGTATTAATTTAAATAATATTTTAGATGCATGATGTGTTGCAATACTTGAGTAGTGTAAAAGCCCTGTTTTGCTTTAAACTAACATAGATTAACATAGTCGAAAATGATAAAAAGTGAACAGGTGACAAACTTGGCAAATTATATCAACTTCATGTCATGTAGTGTACTTTAACACTACTAAAAAGAAATACACATACTATCCCCCATCAATAGGGTTTATTGTTGCAAATGCAACCAGCCTTAGGCGATGCAGAGTATTCGTGATCTGTAGTGGATGTGTTAACAGCTTTAATACATAATTTAACGACATTGAAGTAGACCATATTTAAGTAAAAATGAGGATTACATGAAGGAACCATATATATACATGTATAATGTATTATATGAAGTACATTTGTATAGGATAAGTATGCATATCTTGAATATTAAGAAATGTTATTGCTTAAGTGTGGACTGGTGAAATGATTTATTCATAAATGTTTATACATATTACAAACTCTGCTGAACTGCTATTTCAGTGCGGTATAATTCTTACTCAGGAAATACCTGAGTGATAATATTATTGCATTTATCTGGTAAATAAGTTGATCAAAACTAAACCCCATCACTAAATAAGTTGTTCACAATTATTTACTATTGCATTCAAATACACATCACATTTAAATATGCATATTTGTTGTCTTTAAATATGTACATATAGTGTGTAATATCATTTTTAAGCACCTCTTACATGTATGTCAGTTACTTAGTAAAATCATCGATGCTAAAATCTGAAGCAGCCAAGCTGATAAAATAAAACAGATACACCCTACTATGTGCATGTTATAATCCTTCTAACCACATTTCAAATGTTAAATAAAAGAATGTTCATCATTTGATCGTATAAAAACCCAATCATCTGGTCAAGCGTAGTTGGATGCATCTAGAGAAATACTATGAACAGGTGTCAAAAACGTTCAATATAGTTCCAGTTATGGGGCCATCAGATCCTTTTCATTAGTCATTACCAAAGATTTTGTAAAATCTGGACAACGGTTTGGTTTGTATTTTTAAGCCAAGTAGACTGAATATTTTTCCCAAACTTAATTATGGGTTGCTAATGAAGCAGCGAAAGCAATATTTTTAAATTGGATCACATTTCAAATAGAACTATCATTGCAAATTAAAGTAGGTTGCCCCACGGGAAAAGCTAGGAAAATAAATGCATTTTAAAATAATAAATAAAAAGAGTTAATCAGTTGGATATTTTTAGATGAGTAAAAAAATGTAAGCTAAGAAAAACATAAGCAGACCCCTAATAATATAAATACTCTGAACTACTTTAAAAGACTAAAGTAATATAGAAATATAAAAGCAAGGATTCAGAGGCCTTGGGCGGCCTGCTACCCTAACCCCATCTGAACACTGAGACTGTTTGTTACCAACACCCTAGGCAGTTCAGTAGCCTTCTTCTACTCCCCACACACTACTCAAAGGTTTAAAGCGGGAACCTAACTGCAAATAGACTGGTAATGACCAAAAAGAAGTTGCCGATCTTACTATGAAAGCATATGAGGTACACATAATTGTAACTTTTCCTTTTAGACTATGCTTGGATCATGAAAATTGCTAGAGAAAGGGAAAACATTGCCAAATAAAGTTATTTACTTATGTTTGTTTTTATCTTGAAAACTTCGAATGAAAGTTACAAGTGGTAAAACTTTAAATTGTACTCCCTATAACATGTGTTTTGTTTGCTTAGTCTTTTTGTTATTGAAATGAATAACTAGAATCAGTTTGGCCAAAATATCAAAAATAATGATGTCGAGTACAGTTCGAGACTTCAATTCGAGTCAACCTTTTATCTTCCTCTAAGCTTACTTTCCTACAATTTTCTCTTTCTGCCCCCCCAAGCATTGTCCACTTTCTTAAAGTTTTATATTTTGCGGAAAAGAGTTGTCATTCAACATCATAGGAAACATTAGTTCCAACGTCAGGACACATTAGTGTGGTTGATTAAATTCTCGGATTTGACATGTCACATTAGCTTTGCAGTGGTGATGCTAGAGATTGCAGAAGGGAAGTACATTTGTGCAGGAAGTGAAACAAGCAATGGTTGAGGCTAGAGAAACACATGAACTTCTTCTTGGAGTTCTCGACCTGACCATTTGTTCAAGTGTAACACTTGCAAGCCTGAAGAAGTTTGCTGCACTTTCCTTTAGTTGTCTGGAAGGCACTTCAATAAGGCCAACAATGCGAGAAGTGGCAAAAGAGATTGAGAATATCATGGTAGTGGTTCTGCTCCAGTCATCCTTATAGTGATGAAAGTCTTTTTGTCTGTTTACTTGGTTGTGACTTCTAAGTAAGATAAGCAGCAGTTTGGGTATTTAACCATTTTGTTTTCACATGTCTTGATACTCTTTGACAGCCTTGTGTATTTTGTATGTGTGATTAGAGATGATGTAGAAAGATATTCTTGTGAAACAGGAAGTGATGAATAAGTAGTTTAAGCGCGAAGAAACATTAACGAGGAATTAATTCCCCTACAATGGCCTTGGGCATTACCACGAACGCGCAACGCGCGTTACTAAACTAGTACTTTCATACATACAGAAGCACACACCAAACACATCTCACTAAAGGATTGTAGTTTGCCAGCAGCATCCTAAGCAGTAGTCTTCATCGACTGTACTGCTTAGCCTACTGCTTAATAACTCACTCTCCTTGAGAGTGTTTTCCACTAGAAGTTATCTTACACTCAGAAGGTGCCTCAGCAGTACCCTGGTCTTCACCCTCCTGCTGAGCCCACTGCCCATTTATATGTGTCTTTCCGAACGCCATAACAAGCCAGAACAAAAAGCCATCCAAGAGTCATCCTGTTCTTAACAGTTGCCTCAGCAGTAACCTGCCCACCAGTCGACTGCCAACTCAGCAGTTGCCTGCCAGTCAGCAAACTGCCTGTGCAGCAGTAGACTAAGAAGTTACCTGCTCACCAGTCTACTGCCAAGCCTACTTCCTCTTGTCACCAGTCTAAACATCATCTAAACTAGAAAGTTATCTCACACCAAGTATAAAGAGGTTAAAGACTTCCGCTGTGCATCTATTAATCTCTTAAAAGATTATAGATCAACTCATCTAGAGGGAAAAGTGTTCATAAAGTTGAAAAAGATTTAAAAGTCTATTCACCCCCCCTCTAGACTTTTACCTCTATCCGGGACCATCATAAAATTATAATAAAAATTAGTTATTATTCATAATAATCAACTAACAATACTACTTATTAAGCATTTAATACACTCTCATGATATTTCAATGTATATTTTGATCTTATAAAAATATATAATGATATTTTTATTTTTATTGTACATCTATATTATAATTTGGCATGATGTTCATTCTTAAATAAATATATAAATATATTACGTAGTTTTTCTTTTTAACGTATTGAAATTGCAATTTTATTGGTATAAAAAATGCATTAAAAATAAAAAAGAAATTATTTTTTTTTGGTAAAAACACCCAAAAACTGGGTTTTACCGGGTTTTTCGGGTTTCTTGGGGTCCGGGTCTTGACCAGGTTTTCCCTGGTTAGTCGAGTTTTTCCGGTTTTTGACCATTTCCGGGTTTTGAAAAAACCGAACCGGTTTTTTGTCCGGGTCACCGGGTTCCGGGTCAACCCGGCCGGGTCGGGTCGGTTTTTTAAACATAGACAAAAAGTTTATGTAACAGCAAAATTGACTTCGAATAGTTAAAGTTGGATAAACAAAGTTAGGGGGGAAATGTGAGTTAAAATTAACCACTGAACTAGTAATCATGAAAGAATAAAATGGGACAAGCAATTTTACTATTTGTCTATTTACCAACCAATACTTCCACGGTTCAGAAAATATCACTGAAAAAAAATCTAGAGATAACATAGAAGCAATTTTATTATTAAATCAATTAATATGCCACTTTTAAATAATACATCATTGAACAAAATAATAATAATCTAAAAGGAAGCTCCAGATCACAATTAAAGAATCTGATCGGAAAGTGATGGGAGTCGCCGGAAAAAATTTATAGGGATGGACGGCATGTCTCCCCTGAACCTTGGGTGTCTCAGGTAGTAGAACCCTGCCCCTAAAACAAATGCCTTTAATGGCACCAGGTAAAAGATGATAGAAGCCAAGAAGCACACAACCACAAATATCCCGGTCGCCCTCGGATCCCTCCAATTGAACAACGCATCCAGCCTCTCACCCTGTGCCGCCACATCGCCGAGCAATGTCTGGACCCGGCCCGCCAATGCCCTCAGCCGATCATACCTCATTCGGATTTGTTCGGGCGACCGTGTGGTCGGGAAGCCGTCAAATTCCTCATCGAGCTCGTCGGGGCCCACCGCATCCAAGTAGGATAACCGTGGGTCCATCGAGATCATAACGCCCCGACGGGACCGAAATCTCGAAGATGTGACGAGAAACGCGTACAAACAAATTATTGACACAATGAGGTGCGGGCACAAAACAATACCCACTAGTAGTATGTGAGCCAAAACTGTGATCAATGGACTCGCCCATGACCGGATCTTGTCGACCCAACGGGCCAATGTCGCTACCCTCGACAAGCACCCTACAACCCGAAACCAGTTTGCCTTTCCCCTCCTAAAGCTCCAAATATGGGTATCCGTATCCAACATGAACTGAATCACTTCTGGACCCAATGCGGGTTCGGACCTAGCCAACCTTGCCATTACAATTCTCATAGCCATGTGCCTTAGTACATCCTGTTGACCCGGCCCGAAAGGTCGCACATAATGCATCCTGGGTAAAACCGGGCTACCATACGCTTGAATCAAACTCAACCACGACGAACATGTGAACCGCAACGCTATTTCAATCTCACCCATTTTCCTGGCTCCACCCGGCAACAACACCATAAGCGAATATGTCCCCGCATACTCTCTATTCGTGTCCAGCGTCGATAGCCGTATACGTAGCTTTCCGAGGCGGAGATCCTTCTTTCCGGTTGCCTCATTTTCGTGCTCTTGCTCGTGATTGTTGCACCTTCCATTATCGAACACGCCTATGGTTAGTACGGTGCACGGGTCGTAGACCTCCCACGCGTACTGCTCATTCCAACGCGGGTTGAACCGGTCGACGATGGTGCGGGTGCGGACCCACTTGGGACCGTACTTCGCTACCACGTAAGCATCGGTGGTCCCGCGTGTACCATCCCGGGTTTTCACTGGGAGCAGATTGGTGGCCCCTCTGATTCCCACCTCAAGTAGCCCGACAGGAGGCTTTAAGAGCTGTTTTGAGGTGGCCCTAACATCGCTAGTCAGGTGGGCAGCCTCGTCAAGCACGTGATATCCGCCTTCCAAGCTGACTCGCACGTGGATCCGTCCGGCGTATTGTTTGTTATCTGTACTGTCCAAAGAGACCAAGTTAAACCACCTGGATCTGCGTTCTGACTTGTCATCCATCAGCCTGTCAATTGTCGCCACGTGTACGAAGGCGTGGCCCACTGGATGACCGTTAGTCGCGTCCTCGACAGTGATGGTCAGAAACGGCTCAAACGGCTCCGCTGCGACAAAGATCAGGTCCTCGTTCCACGTCGGATTAGAAGCTGAGCTGGAGGTCCCGAATGTGGTGCGGCTTGTCCTGAACAGCTGGGCGCCGAGCTGGCCTTTCACGTACAGGTCTGGGGTCTGGATTTTAGCTTCGGTGCTTCCCGAAGCAAGTTTCAAATCTTGGGTTTGGATGACCGTTAGCCTCAGGTACCATAGCTTTGGGGACAAGTATACTTTGGCTCGGGTCTCCGGCACAAGACCGCCGGAGTCCGACTGCCAGGCCTCGTTGAATGCCTCGTCCGCCTGAGTCCCGATCCACACCGACAGCATGACCTCATTTTCCGGGAAGGTGACGGGATTGTCGCTGCCTAAACTGTACCATTGAGGAGCCAGAGGACTGTCGGAGGGCACTCTGTTTGGGACCTCCGGCAAGTCAAATGACACTGTTCCGATGCAATTCTCCTCGGCGTCTTTCTTCTCGACCCAAACGGAGACTTCGAGTGAAGTGGAATTCAGCCCATCTTTATCAAAGGCGAAAACTTGATCCCATTCTCTGTTTCCGGCGGCAGGGGTTAACGATTTTGTTCGGATGGCGTGAGTTCCGATGACGAGCTTCGCATAGGCGGTGGAGTCGGGATCTGGGTTGACCCGGTTCACCTTCACGACCCGTACGAATAGAAATGGCATCTGATCGACCAGATCGAAGGCGCTCTTCCGTCGGTCGGTGCCGGAGAGGCTCGAGACAACTTTCAGTTCACTGGTTTTTTCGGACACCGGTTTGTCAATGTGGCGTTTATGCTGCACTTCGTGGGGTAGTTCCGCCGGAGTAGCAGTTGGCTGGGCAAGAGGGACCGTTACCTCTCCCTTTTTCTCGGTTTCCGGCGACTTCTCTTCTTCCTTCTTCTCTGGTTCTTGATTTTCCGGCTTCTTTTCCATTTGACCCAGCTGATTTTCCGGCTCTTTGTTTCTCTCATTTGCAGCTGGTGACTTTGTATCTTCCTCCTTTTCCGGTTTCTTCTCCTCGGCAGGCTGCTGTGAAGTCCTCTCCTTTTCCTCCGCCGGTGGTAGCGGAGGAATGGGCGCTTCTCCGTCTACATACCAAACTTTAACCCCAATTTCGCCTTTAATCTGCGAGAATACGCTGCGCTTCTCCAGAGGGTAGTAAACCAGTGACTCCGATCCGGCCTTCGCGAAATTAGTGCCGGCGATCTTCACCTTTCCGAGAAAGGTGTTTCTTTTCCCGGCGGCCTTGTTGTAGAGGTTGAGCTCGAGCGTCTCGGAGTCCATGGATTCGGAATCGTGGATAAAGAACTCGAGAAGCTCGTCCCACTTGGGATTGAGATCCCGGTGAACGGTGGCCGTCCGCCGCCGCTGGCCGTCGAAATCGACCTGAACGTGGGCACTGGCGGTGCCCTGTCCGTCCTTGGGCATCAAGTTTTTGGCGTTACATATCTCAACCATCAGCTTTCTACACGGAATCTGATCGGCAGCCATTGTTCCGATCTAAGATTTCAAAATGTAACTGCGTATTTGAAAATTTGGGTAATTTTTGTCTGTGAAGATGAATTAATTACACAAAAGAGACGATGGGTGGATTGAATGAGTAGCAAATGAATGAGATGGAGTAAGAATGGGGTCAGGCACCGCTCCGCTCACATTTTAAGTGCGGAAGATACAAAAAAAAAGTCCGTTCTTTTACTAGGCCCACTTCTTCAAAAAGATTGTTCTGATTCCACTTATATTGTAATCTCGAGTAATATACTAGGCAGATAGGTACTTCCTCTCATTCAAAATCATTTTCAACTTTTCTTTTGAAAACTGTCCATTTGGTGTGAGTATTTTTATGAAAAAATCAATTAAATCACATGTGCGCCACGTCAACAAAATTATTGCTAATTGGGCTGCCACATGTGCACCACATCAGCGGGTGACCTGTTGACATGGCAAGTAATCTGCAAATGGATTCAATTGAACGTTTTTACAAAATTCGGGAATTTGGTTGATCTTTTAAAAAGTACGAGAACCTAATTGATTTTTCCATGAAAGTATGAATACCAAATTGACCAATTAAAATAATCGGTTGCTAATTGATCTTTTAGTTAATCTAATTTTATATTGACATTGTTTGGCAATCCGTTGTTAGTTGTTAGCTGGTTAGGTTAACGGTTTGATAATAGTTGATTGAATTAACTATTTTAAATGGCTTATTATGATAGCTATTTATAAATAGTTGTTTGATAAATTAGCTTACTGCAAATAGATGTTCAGTGAATTTGAAATAAATGTTTGAAATAAAAAAGAGTTACTAAACAGTGAATTTGAATTAGATGTTCAGTGTGTAACACCGTCCCCAAGTGTATTTACTTTTAAGTGAATATTGTATTTAACCTTATTGGATGGTTAACGAGTTTACGACGTTATGAATTTTTATTAATTCTTTTGCGTGAATAGTAAATTCACACGTGGGGCCCACACCGGGAGCGGGGGCCGCCCGAAGTTCCCGAAACCATATATTTCATTTATCTTGGTCAAGATAATATTTATATAGTGGTGAGTACTTCATTCGAACCATGGAAAGGTCCAGAGTTGACCGATTGGTCAAAAGAAGCCAAAATATCGGTATTGGTAATTTAACAGATAAAAGCCAGAAATGAATTTCGGGAACTTATAAATTAAATTTGGGGAATGTATATTCATTATAAGGGTCATAATGATTGGGAGCACATAATACATTTTATTTGACCCGATAAAATAAAATATATCTAAAACAGTCCGAAAATACAACTTTCGGGATCGATTGTACACTTTGGGACACAAAGGGATGACCTCCCACATGAGTGGGGGCCACCCCACGTTTTTGTGCTGAAAAAGGACAATTGAGGGACTGCACAACATGGGTTGAAGGGTTGACATTGGAGGAGAGTGATGGGTGGGTGAGAAGTGACCAAAAGTGGCCCAACTCTCTCACTCATTTGCCTATTGAGACAAAGAGGAGTACCCTCACTACCTCACTTTCTTTGTGCGGCCAAGACACCCCAGGAGAGAGGAAGAGCTCCCAGAAAAACTACCATCCTCCATAGCTAAGGGCAAGCTCAAGCTCAAGGAGGTCCAAGAGAAGGATTTTTAGAAGGAAAAAACTAGGTGGATTAAGGTAAGGACCTTATAATAACTTTTCCTCTATTCTTCATTTATAATATGACCTATATGTCATATGAAGGACCCTTAGGATTGTTCCACATGTTATGAGTGTGGGATAATGGGTTGGAAGTTGGTTCTATGTCCAAGAACGGACTTAGAAGCCAAACCGGCAAGTTCACCGGAAAATAACCTTTTAGAGGTTATTTGTATTGATTAAGGTTTTGTGATGTTAAAACCTTGTTAGGAACTTGATTAAAGTATTTTTGAGCTTCGCCGGAGTTTCGCCGGAGTTGGTCAAAGTTCGCCGGAGTTGGTCAAAGTTCACCGGAATTAGTCAAAGACCGATCGAGAAGCGTAGAACACGCTTAAGCTCACTTAAGGTGAGGATGGCCGGCTATATTGCTTATAATTATTGGGTTAATTTCATAAGATTGCCTAAATGAATTATATGTGTTTGGCATGATTTATTTATAACAAAAAAATGCCTAAATGAGATTATTATTGTTTATAAGTAAAAGTGCATAATATACAAATTTATGAATAAATTGTGTATGATTATGTATTATGAATACAATGGTATAATAGTGTGTAAACTATAAATGAATTGTGATAAATATACTTTTACCTCATGTAAGGAAGTCATGGAAGGATAAAAGTGATATTTTGATATTAGAACCAAGTTATACTTGAATGTGGCATTAAATTGAAATAGCCAAACTACTATGAAATTGCTTTGGCTTATTAAGGTTAAATGACTAGTATAGAAATACTAGCCGGGAATGTTAGCATGAAAAGTGATAGAACAAATCCTAGGGGCTTGGATTGTGAAAGATGTACCTTAAGTAGTCATACGAAATGTCTTAAGGTAGAAATGAGTAAACGCTAAGTTACCATAGGAGTAGACCTTGAAGGTTACTCATAGTAGAGGGACTCTAGGCATAGAGCTTGCTTAGTGAATTAGTATCGTGACTAGAGGAAGCCTCGAGCACGATGAAGAATGACTGGAGGAAGCCTCCAGCATTCGTGTAGGACGACTAGAGGAAGCCTCTAGCGTAACGTAATGTGACTGGAGGAAGCCTCCAGCACAACGTATGTAAGGTGATTAGAGGAAGCCTCTAACACCAAGTGGAGTGACTAGAGTCAGCCTCTAGCACAACAAAACATGACTAGAGGAAGCCTCTAGCATGGTAAACTAAAATAGATGGGTGTGGCTTGAAGTCACGGGGAAAGGGTTAAATGTTTTCAAAGTAAACATGGGCCTTCGGGCGATTACTTGACTTTATATATAAAGTAAGCGTATTTTCAAAGAGGGTAACCATGGGTTATGACCTATAATATAATAACATCCTAGATTGAGGGTCTTGGAAATTGAAACTTTGATTATACTTAGTATAGTTGTCATTGTACTTGTCAAATGCTTCCAAGTACTGACCTCCCCTTCACGGGGGAGGCCACCTCACAGTTTCAGGTAGAACTTGAAGGTTGCTACCATCGTCGTTGCGTCGGGCGGATTATCAAGGAGAGGAGACGTGGTTCGTGCTTCCTCCGTTTCTGTTTTAAACATTCAAATTAATTATTTCGGATAATTATTTTAGGGCTTGCACGCCCGTGTTTGCCACGTGTGGCTCGAATGCTTGTACTAATATTTCCGCTGCTTAATTAAATGATTTACATTATGATTGTTTATGGATGTACTAATGTGAATGGTATTCAAGACGCCTTGTATAGTATGGATGAGTTGGACTGCGGTTGACTATTCGTACTGTACGGCGGGTTGTTGACGTGTCCGGGAAGGTCCGGGGCGTGACACAGTGATTTATTGATAAGGGTCGTGTATTATTTATACTAGTATATGAATATATGATATTCCCACCGTCCCACTAACAATGGGACAAAAGGGAGTGACACACAAATTAATAAAAAGTGATTTATGTGGTTGATATTGGATTGATAAAGTAAGAATGATTTAGAGACACACAAACTTTGCCAAATTTGGTATATATGAGACAGTGTTAATGAGACGGACTGAAATGGTAAAACGGGACAATCTTAGCGGGACGGAGTTAGTAGCATTTTGTGGTTAGGAATATTAATTAATTTAAGACTAAAAGGTGAAATAGACTCTCGAACTAAATTAAAAAGTGCAATTCCCCTCTTATATAGGAGACTCAGTCCGGCCGTCGTCAATTAGGACGATTCCCGATGAAGTTTTTGGTGAAATTTTGTTAGCATCTTCTTCATTAAGTCTAGTTTACTCATGCCAAATTTCAGCTAAAAATTCAATCGGAAAGGCAGCTAAATGAGTTTTTGAAGATAATTGCGCAGTTAAATATCATAGTACATTTCAGAAACTCATTTCACTGTGTTTCCTGTTGAATTTTTATCTGAAATTTGGTATGAGTAGTCTAGACTTAAGGAAGAAGATGCTAAAAAAATTTCATCAAAAAAATCTACCGGGAACCGCCCCAATTAACGACGACGACCGGATATAGTCTCTTATATAAGGGTGAATTATACGGAGTACTTTTTAAGTTAGTTTGAAAGACTATTTGACCGTTTAGCCTTAATTTAATACTCCATATTAAATACTCCCTAGGATGTTTAAAGGAGGCGCCCTGAAATCCTATATACCTAAAAGCAAAATCCCTCACCCTAACTCCTTTCCCGCCTCTCTTTCCCATCTACTGCCTCGTACCGTTACCAACACATTTTACGTTTTCTTCTAGAAAGCACAAGCCCCTTGATGTCTTCCTCAATTTTACGTTTTCTTCTTCAGACTCCGCAATCAGTGTAATTAACTTTTCCTTAATTTTACGTTTCCTTCTCCGAGCACAAATTCAACACAGTCAACTCGGATGGGCATATTCAAATTACTGCCTCTGGACGGTTACCCTACACAGCCTTTCCTTGGTTTCTTAATCAATTTTACGTTTTCTTCTCCAGACTCCAATCAGCGCAGTTAACTTTCCACAGTCGTACGTTTCCTTCTCCGGGCACAAATTCAGGGCAATCAACTAGGATGGGCATTTTCAATTTTAGAATCCTTCTCTTCCCTTTCTATACACCGTTATTCTTTCATTTTTACAAACAGTGGATTCATTTTACCATAGTTGGTTGCTCGCTTCAAAGCAGAAGGCACTCCATACTTATAGGCGGCTTCATTTCTTACCAACGTTGATGGCTGCAGCTTAGCTTCAAACTCGAAGGCATTTAAAGATTTACCACTATAGCTGCTCTCTTCAAAATGGATGCATTTCAGATTTCATTTCCATAAAGTTATCTCCTTTAGAAATTTCTCTAGAGTATCTATGGAATCATTTAGTTTCTTCCCCTGAGATTAGTGCTTCATTCTCAAGGTTAGACTTCCATGGCCCCTATTTGTCATTCAAACTTTTAGATTTTTACATTTCTTCATTTCTAAGCTTCTGCTAATGTTCCGGTAAATCTGAATCATCCACTTCATTTGGTATATAATTGCATT